TCGCTCCACCGGCATCAGGGGACACAATAACAACCTGCGACGGATTGTAATGCTGCCGGATCCAGAAAATCATCGATGGTTCACCATAAAGCTGTCCGAAATCCAAATAAGTCTAGGTGCAGACGAGGGTGCGTTGGAGTCGCAACTCACGCTGCCAAGATGATGTCAGACTTGAGCAAAATTATGCGACCGAACGAAGGCTCACTTGTCAACCGGACAGTCAAAGAACCCTTGAATCTGGCTAGCATGGAGATCCATCGTCTTGTAGCAAATGATTAGCGACTTTCAACCCGACCGTAGGACCCGTTACTCACAATAATATGATCGCACCCGCTCTTCTGTATCATGTTCGCCACCAACCTTGCTGAGATGGGCGCGCGACTTTTATCCTTCCTGTCCTGCCGCGCATACGGGAAGATGGGTATGACAGCCGTAATCCGCTTCGCACTCGCAATCTTGCACGCGTGAATCATAATGCACAGCTCCATCAGCGCCGTATTGACCGAAATCTGCCCATCCGCACTCGCACACCCCGGATTCACAATGTACACGTCCGCCTCGCGGACGGACTCGAGCAGGCGGAGGCACGTTTCGCCAGAACCGTTCTGGCGCACTTCGGACTTGGAGACGGTCAAGCCTAGGCTGCACGACGGGGCGGTCAGCGGCACAGTCTTTTTTTGGCACTCGACGGAGATGTCGTCTGGGAGACGTTGCGCAGTGGTTTGAGGTGCAATTGCTCACCGTTTGGCAATCAGCTCAGCGATTTCCGGGTGACTCGTACCTGAAGAGGAAGGACAGCGACGGTCCTCAGGGGTCAAAGATCACCACATCAGCTGCCAACCACTCACCGGAGAATATCTTCAAACTGGTCGCTCCAAGCATATTAACAGCAAGACAGAGCGGGTAGAGGAAAGGGATAGTTGCAGCGGAAGGTACCTCTTCCCCTTAGTCCAGAAACGAATGGTAGGATGGATTATATACAAGACCGTCGGATGGGATGTTCAGAGGATGAGGGCCATGCAAAGAAGCAGCGGCGTCGGAATAACGAGCGGAACTGTTGAGTAGTGGTGCAAAGGTGGGTCTAACGAAGGTGCTCCAGTCAGGTAAATATTTTTCAGGAGTAGACGCACGTGCTCTCGGTGGGAACCGCCAAATCATTCTTGGTACCCGACGTACGGAAATACACGAGAGGGAGTAAACGAGAGTGCCACAATGACGAGAATAAAACCAAGAATCACACCAGACGAATAAAACTGAGGGAGTGAAGTGGGAGTGGAAACAGCTACGACAGAATAAATGAATGAACGTGACAAGACCATTGACGAATTGGGAGTGAATTGAAATCAAGACGAAATAGGGTCTACTTGCTGGGAGACGTTATATTTCCGGACGTTGCGGCCTTGGCCATAGCCCGAAATTGCACATTGGAGGGAATCAGACCGGATTCGAGAACAGACTTGGGGAAGGCGGGCGCAGAAGCCAGGGGATGCGCAGGCAGGGGGGCGGTCGCAGCGAGTGGGGTGTTTGCTACAGGCCGTGGTGGCGAACGACTGGTGATGATGTTCAACAGTTCCGCCCGATCTGTCTGGGACTTCTGCACCACAAACGAGTTCGGATTGGGAGGAGGGATAGGAGCGCGCAAGGGGTTGGCAAGGTTGGCATGCGATGCAGCCAATGGCGAAGGTGTCATACCCCCGTTCAGGAGGTGCGTGTAGCCTAACATGGGTCCCGAAGCAGGCCTTGGTGGGTACGCTTGAAGCTGAGATACAGGTTGCAACCCAGAGAGCACTGGTCTCCCATTGACTTGGCGTACTGCTCCAAGGATTGATCCGTTTCGTTGAGTATACATGGGTCCTCCGCGCTGGGTCAGGCTATTAATATCGCCTGGGGTGGGCGGCCCTATCGGCATACCCTGCAAGTTCGATGGTACTTGGGACATCGAACGGACATGACCTAGAGGACCAGTCCCATTGCCATAAGCGGTGCCCAGCTTATTAGTAGCAGCATTCACAAGGGTATTTGAAATGGTTTCGCGACGTTGAGATGCTGGGGATACCAAATGAGGGGATGGTGATGCAGATGGTATGTTGATTTGTTGCTGTGGATGCAATAAAGGATGGGGGTGATGCAAGTAAGGCGGTGGTACGGGTACATTACGAATGGGGGGATTAGGTAGTTGGTTAGAGAACACGTTGCTGGCATTACTTGGAGGGAATACGGTGCCATTGGAGGACGGGACATCCATAGGGGGTGCTATCCGTTCCCCGGTGCTATAGAGAATATCCTGCACCGGCTTCGGAAGCAAACCGATGTTGGAAGTGTGCACTCCCTGGAAAGGGCCGTTCGGATTGCTCGATGCGGGAGGACCCATGAGACCTCCCCAAGGTTCCCTTTCTTGCATCGGAGGCAATGGTAAACCAGTCCGATTTGGTTGAGGGGTGGGACAGGTCGAAAGAGATGAAATGGCTTCAACTTCATTGGCTACCATATCCAGAAGGGCAAGGTGTTGAGGGGTGTGGGAGGATGAGGCGGACGGTGGCAATGAGTACGAATTCGTCCGAACGGGCGTCTGTTGTGCGTGATCCGGAGTATCGTCTTCCACAACCGGGGGTACTTTGGCCTTCGGCGTCATATGTACCGTGTTCTCGGGCGTCGGTGCACGACGGGGTGGATGGATGGAGACGTTACTTGCGACGGAATAGCCACGTTCCCGAGATGGCCCGTTTATAGTCTCTGGTGCAACGAACGATGGTGAAATGACGTCCCGGTAGGGTGTCGTGCTACCATTTACGACACGGAGTTTCCTATCGTTCTGGGGTGGTGGGGAAGAAGACGCTTCCATGCTCGAAGAAGATGAAGCCGAATCAAATGAAGTTGTGTCAAGGGTGGCCGGAACAGCTTTATTTGCATTCGAGGCCGTCTTTTGACCGGGTCCGGCAGTCGGTCGCTTCAGAATTGTTACGGGTGGATTCGGATTCGTAGGCGGGACCTTCGGTTTCTTGTTGGTGACCGTTGGACTCGTCAAGGCATCGAATGGGGAAACGAATTCAAAGATACTCTTGGGGAGACTTCCGTCGGGACTCTCCTTGGATGGTTGTGCCTCACCCGTGACCTTCTGTGCAGGTTTGGTGCCATTGGCCATAGGTTTGGCGGCCTTGGGGGGCGGGTGACTATTCACACCCTTGGGACGGTCGATGTTGGATACACTGGAGCTCGTGATGGGCGAGTCGGCAGGAGTAGGCAACCCGCTGGTCATGCCCATGTTGCTTGTGCCCGACGCTTCGGATGTCGCGTGTGACGAGATAGCGAGCGTCTCCATCAAAGAGTTGAAACGTTCTCTCTCTGCGGCTGAGCTCTGCGGCGCTTGTCGGGCAGGTTCTGCAGCAGGTACGACATTCTTGCCTCGCGGAGCTTTGGCTGATTTCGCTTTGACCACCTTCCTAGCAGGTGAGACGCCTTGGATATCGGGTGAAGATGCGTTGGCATCGGCCGCGATGATTGACCGGGTAAATAGGGCATCGACAGCAGACGTGGCTGGAGTGTTGATATCGTTCGATGACTGCGACGAACCAGAATTGCCATGCAGATGCCCAGGGTCGTGGTCTGTTTCTGGCTCGTCATCGCCTTCCGCACCCGTCGATTCTTCGTCAGCCAAACCGCCTTCGGAAGCTGATGTGTGTGACACAAGATCTAGCACATTTGCGTGATACCGAGACCTGGTCGCCCGGGCTGGAGGGTGAGCCTCCATCCGATTGGCAACAGCCCTCTTTGCCCTCTTGTATTCCTTCAGCTGCCGCGGCGTCAGCCCAGGAGGCATATATCCGAACATAGCTTGGAATTCGTAAAGTTTGTTGCGTAGCTGGGATAGGAAAGAGCTGACGCTCCAAGTCCGGATGATCTGATTGTTTTGCGAGTGACCGCGGTGGTGATGGCTGTATTCATCGTCGTCGCCACCGTTCCAGCCAGGCAGCTGATTGAGAAGGAACCAATCGATCTTCTATCCTCGTGACAGGAGGTTAGCAAAATAAGGCAATCAAGGAGGTCCTGGAGCTGACTGACGCTTATCTCCTTGCGGGTGCGAGTGTTGAAGGGGAAGTCCTCTGGGACGTTGGGTACGACGTAGATGGTAACAAATTGCTGATCCTTCCCTTGAAGGGTGATTTGGGCCTCCTCGAGAATCTTGTCTTCGCAATTATAACCGGTCTCCTCGAGGACCTCCCGTGCGGCACAAGTGTAAAGGGGTTCATTCTCGTTGATTTTCCCTCTGGGAAAGCCCCACGGTGCAGACGACTTCCAGCCCTTGACTAGGACACACTGGCCAAAAAAATCGAATGAGAACTAGGGAAGCCGTGCTCGGGAGACAATGCGCCATTACCTTGTCCCACGCGCTGTTGAGGAGGATCGCTCCGCAGACAGGAACGCTGGTCTTGTACTTGACGAAGTCTGCAAAAGCTTCTTCATGACGGTGGCTCCAGCGCTGTAGGAGAGGACATGCTGCAAAGAGTTTAGCGGAAAAGGCCCTCAGCGCCATGGACGGGAGGTTCCGGTTCTCCTGACGGATAAAGTCCTCATAGTACCAATGACTGAACCGTTCGTCAGTGCACAAGTGGCAAATCAGTCCAGGACTTCACTGACGCTTGTTCCACTTGGAAGCAAACCCGTTCAACGGAAGATAGTTCGTGATCAGGCAGATTTAGGATGAATCGGGATGAGAGGTCCTCCAGAATGACATCCATATTGGCATCCTTGAAGGAGAAGGCGGGAGGAGGGAGCGACGGGATTGGTGGTGGTTGGTGTCCAGACTGGCTGGCATGGGAAGGAGCTGAAGATATCGAGTTTGGCGGTTTTAGTTCGCTTGTAGGGTCCATGGTGAGCGGGAGGTCGTTTAGGATGGCGGCGGGTGGTAGTCAGATATCCAACGGTGGTCAGCGGTTCACACGCCTTCAACACCTCCCGTACCCATGCATCGGGAAGGAGTGGCGCAGACAACCCATCGATGCGGCCTGATGGTCTAGTAGTATGATTCGCCCTTAGGGACTTGTGTCCGTCTGGGCGAGGTCCCGGGTTCAATTCCCGGTTAGGCCCTCTTTTTGCCCTCTCTGCCAAGCTCCCTCCGTTCACCACGCTTTGACATCCAACGGCAGAACATATGGTCGCAATCGGTCATGTTGTTGCCTCGAGCGAAAGGGATGATACAGTATCAAAGTCGTAGCTGCTACACATTGCGTAACAAACATCCACTGTTAGGTTCTTCATACACATTCTTGTTGTTCATCAACTACCATACAAAAGCTCCTGACTCGGTATCGAACATCCTCGAGAAGCAATCGAATATCCTCAAAACCGGTAGCTGCCGACCGTGCATCCGCTCCATGACGAGAGCGGTGAGAACATCTCTCATGCTCTTGTCCAGCCACAAAGCCTCCTTCATGAACACGAGCCGTCGAAGATGTGGCAGAGCTTGTGTGGCACAATCTCCATCGCCCAGTATCCGGCTCTCCAAGTATTCGAGAACTGCACGCGGGTCCACCCGGTCGTATACCTTCACGCTCCAGAGGTTTGGTATCATATCGACGAACGCCAACCGTTCACTAGTCAGGTGCCTAACACGCAAGACCAGTTCCACCTTGACATGGGAATCCCGGAAAGCTTCAAAGAAACTTGAAGCTTGCAGCAGTTCGTCCACCCAATCCGAACTACCCAAGGTCAGCTGCAGATCGCCCCCGCGTCGGTACCAGCCCTGTAGAGTAAATTCGTGTTGGTTCACCAGCATGTGGCATATTTCGAGCGTCTCACAACGGAGAATCAGCGCCAAGAGTGAGTCTTCGTCTCCTTCACTGGGGTTGGAGGACGCGATGGCGCTGAGCACCTGGGCGGCGTCTGTTCTGAAGTCGCTCAGCCGGACTGTGGTAAGAGCTTGGCTGCGCACAATGCTCAGTAAGACACGTGCGATACTAGTTGGGATGGAACGGAGGATGAGAGATTTGAGCCGGGGCAGCGGGAGATGGGGAGTACTCGAATAAGAAGGCCCTTCTGACTCGTGCAGATCCCGTAAGCACAGTACTTCAAGATCTGGGCAGGCTCGTATCGCTGAGAAGAGCTCGTTACCACCCACAGATACATCGCCTAATGTGAGCGACGTAAGTGAGGAGATGATCGCCCAATCCCAACCGACGGGACCAACGAGAGTGACTTCATTCAACCGATATCCATCAGGAAGTTGGACACTGCCACTCTGGACTCGGAGATACAGGTTCCTGAGCAGAGGACGTGGTGTCTCCAAGTAGGGTGCGATAACATCGGCAGAGACACAGGAGAACGACAGGGATGCCCAGCGGTCAGAATGAGGTCCGACAAGGTGGAGAAACCTCTCAGCGTTTTCCGTGCTTCCGTAAAAGGAGACGTGTATGGGTGCCGTTCCCGATCTCTCGAGCATCAGGTCCACGTCTTCGTCATGCCTCACCACGGCCCAGAGTCGCGGCGTCTGTCTGACGACTGTCTCCCAATAGGTGCACACCAATTCCAGTATGTTCAATCGTCTCAGGCGGCTGTCTTCGCATTCGTCGCCCTCAAAGCATTTGAGGAAGATCTCCCCGAGGAGTTCGACGGGGAGGGTGAATATAGCAGGTGATGTGTTGCGTCGCATGCGTAGAGCAGTGGTACAATGGTCTATCGAGTCCTCGAAACGTTCTTCGGCAGGATCCAGGGCATTCATGGTCTCCGAGGTTTCTGTGGTGGGTGTCCCCAACAGACGTAATAACCGACGACGTTCTAGAGGGGTAACCCTGTCGATGAGATCAATTTCATAAACGCAACGAAGCAAAGCACTAACGATCCGTCAGAAAGATCTATTCCCCCGTCGGTGGCCTTGCATGTTGCGGAGAGCGCCAAGCCGTCCGATCCATTCGATGATATCGCCATATCTCCGTCATAACGCAACATCAACTATGGTCACACTCAACGATATAGCAAGAGGAAAGCACTCACCACGGTGTCTGCGATGGTTATGCGTTTCTAGGTGGTGTTCTGCGGAGTAAGGCACGGTGATGCGCTGCTCGCAGTCTAACTTGCAATCCAACGCCCGCAAGACCTGGAATCGTCACTAGACATCCCCATCGGTCCTCGACTTCAATGTGGGGTTAGTAGACATGGCTATTACCTGCAGCACACGTTAGACAGCGTAGGTCGTGCCAAACTTGGGCTGGAAAGCAAGAGGTTTTGGTAGCGACACTGTGGGGGCGTCGACAAGATTACTGCTTCGACATGTTACACATTTGCATGGTGACCCATCCACTCTTAGGAATAGACAGCCTTCTGAGGTAGTGTTCTTCCAAGGTAATGTTGACTGCGAGGTTCAGTTGTGGCACGGGCGCGCCTCGGCGATACACGGAACCAACAACATTCCTTCCACGACCAGCGACCGTCGCCACCAACAGCAATGTCGGGCACTCTCACCCTCATCCGACAGTGCCGCCCCCAACTCCCAAAATACGCTAGACTCTCCTCAACAACAACCAAGTCCGCTTCGGTGGCGCCGCAAGTGACACCTCCCGCCGTCACTCCCATCGTCGGCCAAGCTCCCAACCACGCCGCCAAATGGAGCAGCAACCAACAGAGCCGTCCCCAACTCGCCTCCATCCCCCGGTTCGAGCAGACAGACATGGCGCTGCAGCCCCAGCCTCTCAGCGCAATGGAGATGATCGCACAGGAGCCGGTCCGGTTGGTCCACGGTCGGATAGCCGTCTGCGACGGAGGTTCGTAACAAAAAACGCCCATTTCATCTCCCCAAAAAAACCGACTCTCTAAACTCGTAATCACCTTTTTCTTGTGGCGTCCTTTTAATCCGAATTCCAAATTGATCGGTGTTCTACAAACCAGGAGGAGGACCGTTAGGTCATCCCAAAATCTTCATTAATCTTGTGCGTATTCTCTTCGAACGCTTTTACCTCCAAAACGTTAATTATTATCTTTTGGTTTGCCACAACAGGACAAGCCTGGACCAAGGCCATGCGGGTGAGCTGCCATAGCCGGGCCTTCCCAGACGCCAAACTCACCTCTTCCTCGTTGACCCACCCCACCCACCAGCTACTGGTAAGCTCCGTGATACGCCCAACGCCTCCATCGATTAACTTGGCGTCCCCCCCAGCGGAATTCGTTTCGAGCAGGCTCACGAGCAGCACTAACGTTATAGAGTGTAACCCCGGCAGAAACAATAAAACGTTCCTTCGTCTTTTCAACTTAAGTACAAAGTTCTTCGAAAAGGCAGACTCTAGGTCGAAAACGCGGGGTTGTGTGAGAGTACTCTTGAAAAAAAGCAGGGTAAAAACGAGGGGAATGGCGCGAGCGCTACAAAATGTGATCCAATTCCCAGTTGGATAACCAGATGCCAAAGAACCATTATAAGCTACGATGTAAGAAACGGAAACCCCAGTGAAGAACGAAAGGGAAACGAGAGGAAGTAGCAAGTGCACGTCGGCCGTGCAGTATTCACAATGAGTAATATAACAGAACGTGATAAGGGATTTTTAAACGAGTGTAGCGATGTTGGATCAGCAGCAAAAAAAAAAAGTGAATGTCCAAAGGGGATTGCAGAGAACAAAAATAGAACCAATAATGAAACATTGAGATGCAGCAATAAACGAGCGTCGAGTGTGTTGAAGAGCCGAAACAAAAGACTGGAGACACGGGCGAAACAAAACAAGAAGGGAAACAAGAACAGAGGGGAGATGGCGGCGCCGGGATCACTGCGGCTGTTGCATCGACTGGTCTGCCCAAGACGCGATATGAGAGAACGGCGGCAACACTTGGCCATGCTGTGATCCGTTTACAGCATTAGGCTATAGAAACGTAAGATTAGTCCATGTAAAGCCTCGGCGGCACGGTGCACTCACCAAAGGGTACGACTCGTTGGCAGAGGCCGAAGCACCAGACGGCGGAGCCAGCTCGTACGGCGGCGTAGTAGACTCGACACTGAGTTCGGTCGAGTTAGTGTACGTGGGCGAATGTATCGAGCTGATGGTCGGAAGCGTCGGCATGCCCAGGTACGGCGACGGGCCCTGCTGGTGCACCAACCTCCCCCGAGAATGCGACCGGTTCTTCTGCTGCAGCGGAGACGGACCGTCCTGCAGCGGCGGTGACTGTGAGTTTCGGGAAACGACGCCGTTGAGCGTCAGCATCTGCATAGGAGGCGACACCATCGTCGTGCCAAGGTTCATGTGCGGATGCGAGCCCCCATCGTGCTCGGCTTGGAGCGCAAGCTCGTCCAACTCGGCCAAGAACGGCTGGTCGAGGCTTGTGGACGAACGGGCGCTTGGACTGAGCCCGCGACTGAACGAGGAACCGGAACGCAAGTTCGATGCGGAGGTCGCGCGGCTAATGCCAGACCCATTGGTCGGATACGGCCCCAGCGTGGCGCCGCGCATGCCGTTACCAATGTTCATGCGATGGTAGTTCGGGCGCGCAGGACCAGGATCCGAGTCCACTGTACTTCGCGAGATGGCAGACATTCGCGAAATGCTATGCACGTCGGAAGACGACATGCTGTGAACATCGTCGTCGGTGTTTCGCTTCTGCGCCTTGTATCGAGACGAGTGGTGCTGAAGCTCGTAGGGGTAGGGCTGGGACGAGTGAGGATGGGGATAGTGTGACTGCGATGGTCTGCGACCTGGCTCCTCGCCATCCGGTGATGATACGCCAACCAGGGTCTTACCAGAGAGCGAGTTCTCGACTCCGCTCGGTCGACCGTCTCCCCTCGAGGGAGATAACCCAAGAGATGAGGAATTGTCCGGTGGCCGTAGCACGCCCTTGCCCTTGAGATCTTTGGTGGTAGCAGCAGTATCGCGAGTCGTCTCCCACTCCAACTCATTGACCTTGCGTACGCTTTCTTCTTCTTTACGTTTCTGCATGACAGCTCGAGAACGGGCCTGAGCCTTGAGCCGCTGGTTCTCAAACCGGATTCTCGCTTCTTCCTTCTTTGCCTTCTCAGCGAGTTTCTTTGCGGTCTTGGCGTCGACGGGAGCAGGAGGCGGAGGCGGAGGCTGGAATTCGGCAACGGAAGGTGATTGAATTTCGCGAAGCGAACCAGC